ATTCAGATCTATCTCTGTGCAAAGTTTCAAGTCGAAATTTGAAAATGAGTTTTATTAGTGATCCTGAGACGGATCACGACACTGCCATAAAAAGACACCGGAAAAATGCAGTATCTTAACAGCAATAAGTTATGGACTCGAACTTTTTTCTAGTGTATTCATAGCTCTCTAAGATCTACATGATACAGATAGTCCTGACTTAAAAGTACTTGATCAGTTGGAGAACTTCCCTCGTTAATCAATTTCTGATTTAATTTATACACCGATTCTGTCTAACAATATTCTTAATCTCAGAGACGTTTTTTAACATTGATCCATATATTTTCGACGAATCTGTTTCTCGTTTATATTATATGTTCATTTTTTATAGTGTCTGACTGTGCTAGTTATGATTATGGTGATCTCTGAACGAAATATCGATGATTGTCTAATTGAAGTGGGACATGTAGCAAAGATTGTTGCACTTCTTATTTCAATTCTTTGCTGTACCTTTGGACTATTCGTCGCTTGGCAATACTATGAAACTGGTTTATGAGTAGTATGTATTATCTTTTGCTTATTGTTTTCAATTCAATAGTAGGTTTTATTTTTATTGACCGAACCTTGTCAACTGATCGATCGAATTTTTTTCAAACCCACGAATTCTTTTTCTAAAACATGGTCGTTTAAAGTATTGTATTTTGGCCAGTAGAATGACAAAGAACAAACACGCAATAACTTCGTTGATTGATTGGAAGTTTTGTTTTTGTTTTTTAAAACTATTCGATGATTTCTATTGAACGATCGATACTCTTTGTCAGTTGAATGAAAGAGTTGACTCGGACTGAGACAACAATAAGTATTCATGAAGTTAACAATACTATCCAAATGCACATTTAAAATCATACAAAGAAATGAACTGAACCTATGAGTTATATCTCAATCGGAACAGATCGCGAGAGCGAAACAAATCTATACTGTTTTATTTGTTTTACGATGCATTTTTTTAAAAGTTTTAAATAAAAACTAATTTTATGAATATCGAAATAGCGTAAAGTTAAATCGGAATCATATTTGATGCAAAAACTTCCTATTGCATTTATATCTTTTTCTTATTGTCGGAGGTCAAACATATAGAAAAAATTAATAGTTTTCAAGTCGATCGAATTTATTCAAAAAGATATTCCTGAAAAAGAAATAATAGATGACAGTTTATTTGTTTCAAGATGTTCGATATGTGTATTAATAATCGAGAGATTCTGAAAGCAAGTAAAAGAACATGTTGGATTTAATCTTGTTTGAATAAAAAATGTGAATTAAAGCTGAATATTTTTACTTTCTACTTTTAGTTTGCTTGGCTAATTATAAGTGACTTAATTGTAATGATTTTCATCATTGTATTTATTCTAATTGCCGATAAGACAGTTGCAATTACGATAAATTGGGATTTGTGACGAGAGAATCGCGGCCTCTTGATTCATAAGCCAAGAGGTCTTTTCATTTGTGCCATTGCATACACTGTTGCTACTGTTATTGATGTAAATATTTTATCTCATTCATATCTATTCATCTTATATTTCTTTTACTTTGTAGATAATTATTATAAGATTTGCCTTCAAACTGGCCAAACTTATTAGTCTTAAAAGATCTTCAATTATTCCACAAATCTAATTTTTCATTTACTCAAAACTCTACTCATACTAACTTTTATTCCGTTTCCTTTATTTTTGTAGTTAGTTTTTTGTATAGTATTTTGTTCAGGCATAGAAATTCAAAAATTATTCATACTATTAAATAATACTACAATACAAGCATGGTTCTGACACATTTACTAAGTGTGGGTATGTAAAACGAAAGCTAAACGTTCAAAAAGAAGATTTTGTTTTCGTTTTGTCATCAGATGAATTCTCAAAATAAATCACATAATCTAATATGAATAATGCATTAAAGATAACAAAATTGCATAAGAATCATTACTCTGATAGGGTTACATATTTAATTTTCAAAATAATAGGATGTGGATGTGAACCGTTTCTTTACTAAAACTCGCCTTCATTCCATATCCACATCTTGAAGTTTTCAAAACTTAAAGAACTTGATTGAATATATATATATATATAAGTGATAAAATTTTAGTCTTCTTTATCAAGAAAAAGTATGAAAAATATCATTAATCATTCTTCTACGGTTATTACGAGCAAATAGAATGCGAAGAAATGTTAAATTTTGTATTTTATTTGTTTGTTGAAAGATCCTTTATGCTAACATCTAAGAATAGGTTTTGATTTTGTCATTTCGAAGATAATGTGTATGGATAAAATAACAAACATTCTAATTTGGCTATTTAGTTTTTAATGACAAACAATTATGATAGATAGCTTCTACAAACACAAAATAGAAAGAAAAAACAAAGATGCAACTTAACTACAATAAATATATGTACCACTACTTTTAGGAGAAGATAAATTTGAATTTTTATTGTGTTTCGATCGTTCCATAGTTAACGAGCGCAGTTGTTTCTCTATTCGAACTAATAGATTTGCCAATTGATTGATCACTAGATGACGTTATATTGTCATTGGTGGGTAGTGTTTTTTCATAAATGAGTTTCTGTTGTTGTTATTTGTATGAAAGTCAACGTTTAACAATTATATCAGAAGGTTTAGCTGGTAATGGAGGTAAACGTTCAATAATGACACGACGTGATACTTGTTTCATAGGTGATACTCGTTCATAAATGATCTAATTTCAATTAAGTTATCAAACTTCGTATGATGATAAGAATCCAGTTTTTTTACATGAGATGTATTAACGGATAGTGGAGTTGGTGGTTATTGTCGAATAACAACTTAAAATAAAACTCAATAGTGTAAGAATGGTGTAGGTGTGGCTTCGGATAGGCACAAACTCACACTCACGCCCACACCTTACACCCACCCACACCCACACCCTAGTTATTGAATAAGCATAATCTGGTAGTAGAGCGCAATCAATTGCTATTCACACAAGAACATATTTTATTATTTTCTGAAATAAATTAATCACATAGAAGGGTGTGGGCGGGTGTATTTTTTCTCATGATCCTCATCCATATACACACCCATACCCCAATGATCAAAACTGTTATTCAGCAAATAATTTCATGGTTGTTTTTAACGATTGACTTTTCAAAGACAATCAAGAAGTAGAATGAAAAGCAAACACATTTAACAAATTGTTCGACAGAATAAAAATTTCAATAATCTCCTGATTTATTGAATCGTATTCGAAGTTTCTTTTTCATACTGAATTCTTGAAAGGATTTTATTATTTTGTCCGATCACTCCAATCAATCTTGAATGAATACAATCGAAACAAACTGTCGAACAATATTTAGAGTTAAAAATTTAGAATAATTCAAAATAAAACGTAATATTAATCGAGATTTTTCAATGAAGAGTCTTAAATGTTCATTTTTTTTCCTCATTGGTTTAACGCTAACCGAATAGATATTTGTATACCAATTTTTACGGGTAAATTAATGTAGTAGAAAAACAGGATTCAATGATATGGAAAGTCTTGGTTTTGACAAAAGTAGCTCTCATGTCATGATGTTGATGCAAAATAAAAAATAAAACACTGGATGCATAACAGCTTTATATGTTCTAGAAGCATTTGAGCTGTCACTAAAATATCAACAGAGCTTCTCCTAGAATAAAATTGACACTAAATGATTTTCAATCAATTAATGCAAGCAATTAACATTCGACACTTATATTAATCATTAGAATCTGTTTGATCTCGAGGGTGTGGGTGTGGGCATCGATAAAGGAAGGAAGCACAATGGTACGAGTAGTCCACACGCTGTACTACTTTTATTCTGACCCAGTTATTATATATAAAGTTCCTTAATATTCTGTTTTATATATCAAACAAGCTCATGTCAGATAGTTCAACTGATAGGACAGATTATACGTCAAATACATGCTTCTTATTTCACTTTTCAAATTTGTGCTGATCAAATAATCATTCACATGTTATGATATTTTCTTGACTTTAATCGAATTCGATCATTTCAATGCACTGGCGTCATCTGCATTTGTTCATCCATGCTTGTTTAGTGTATATGTCAGCTATGGCGCCTTGATCACCAATCAATTTTCTTTTTGTTCTGCACAATCATAGGAGGGCATAATCAAGCTGCAGAAGTGTGCGAATGTCAAACAATCTCGTCTTTTTTGTACCATATCATACAGGCTACGCTCATATAGAACTGGTTCTTTCATTTGTTTCCTTTGCTGACGTTTATCTTTTCGTTTATAAATGGAATCCAGCCCGACAGCTTGTACAAGATTATTTTGCTAGATCAAGTCATGTGCATGTTCATGAATTTGGCCTTGATACTATTCTATCAGAGCTTGCTGAGCAACAACGACAGCAACTGCGAGTGGTTGTTCTTCTCACAGCATCCATCAATTATCCGTTCGGTCAATCACAATATCGTTACTTCTGTAGCATACAAAAGCACGCACCGTCTATTATTGATGTGTATTCGACGGGTCATTGCATGTATGGATGTCAAAGTTCTGTTCATGCTTATTCACATCGATTACCAATTACTTTCACCAATTATATGCGTACGAAATATTCATCATCTATTGAACTAGATAAAAATATTGAAATTATCATTTGTCCAAGTTTTTCATCTAAGGATGCTCCAAATAGTCTTTTGTCGAACAAAGAGATTGTCGAACAAATTGTTGCTTTCTCATTTCCACATGCTATTAAGCTACATCCTCTTACGTATCAACTTAAGAACGACAAAAATCCATTGTTTTCATTGAGTGAGTTGGAACAAGAAAATGTACGAAAATTTTTTACATCGAAAAATATCGTACCTGAGACACAAACGAACACATTAAAACTAATCGAACATGCACGTGTTCTTATTTGTGATTCCGATTCGTCGATTCCATTCGAAGCACTCTATTTCAACGATCAGAAGCACATCTTAGTTTATGAAAGAGTGAAACAAAATGAAAATGACGATGATCGACGAACATATTTTCCACAATGCTGAACAATTGACTAAATTACTCGACCGTTATTTTGCCGGTGAACTCGAATGTAAAACAAAAGATAGTCATAAATTCTTCTTAGAAAAATATGATGAACCTGATGGAAAAGAAATAGAACGGCTCGCCAATATACGTCAATGGATGTCGAAGCATCAGGATCTCAATCAAAATTTCGATGTTGAGAAAATCAAACAAGAAGTGAAATATCAAGTTGAATCATTGTCAACACAGATGACTCTTTATGCACTAGGCGAATGTACGCCTGCAGAAATCGATGAACTCTGTGATGCTGATATTAATGAAGCGTTCAGTGTTTTATTGCAAAATATTGCTCATCTTTAGTTGTATTCTTCTATCAAATCTTCAAAGCGAAAGCCATATTTATTTACACAAAATTACCAAAAAATGAATAGGTGAAGATGAAGATTCAAGTTTCTGTTATCCGCCACGTAGACTCACACTCACACGCTTATTAATAATTATATTTATAAAGACAAGAAATTTATTTTTCAACAAAAACTTTGTCTGTTGATTTAGGATTTTGATAAAATCGTATATATATATATTGGTTATATGTCAAGGGTATTTTCTCTACTTCTTAGACATAACCTGATCTTCTTCTTGTTTTGCTGGGTGAAATGTGAGATGATAACAATCAGTGAATGAAATAATCGGTGAGTGTGAAATTTTAATCTCATAAGTAATGTATTAATGTAACACTGATATAATACATAGTCTCTTGATCAATCATACTATAATTGTTGAATAATTTACAATATATTAAATCTTATTTATAGTGGGTTGGCATTAATTTAATAAAAACTTTGATGAACCAACTAGTCAATATAGAAAACAATCGTTTTACGAAATAATCTCTACCGTCAATCAGGTATTCATTATTAATTTTTTTTTCTTTGAAAGAGACAATAAATTATTTTGAAAATCTGAGAAAATCTTGGCATAGTTCAAAGGGTGTGGGTGAAAATAACTCTCATACCCTGAATCGCGGTTGTTTCTATGAAAATTTTATCAATCTATATCATTCAATAGAGAGCATCTTGTTGATGAGACTTATACACACTCATCTATGGATCATATTAGCAACATGAAAATTATAATGGCATTAGTGTAGATGCGATTAAGATCAGTTCGGAAAAACATCTAAAACGATCTCGTCGAACAAGATAAAAAATAGACGACATTTTAAGAATTCATGAAGAAATCGTTACCTTATTGGATGTGAATGTACATCTTCGTTTTGTCCATATTAATATTCGAAATATGTGATTTCATTGCACTGTCATAATATATTCATTGTTATCGATAATTTAACTCAAAAAATATAGAATATCGTTATAAGCAATTAATAATATATTGATATTGATATTAGTATTTATTTTCTTATTTGAACATCACATATTAAATTTTAGCATACAAATCTTGAGAGTATGAGGGTGTCAGTGTGGATTTCGATTACTTCAACACGCCACATCCACATCCTTATTTCTTGTAATTTTTGTTATAATAAATATTCAAAACTTTTTATCAATTTATGTTCGCTATGAATATTTATCTAAAATTGAACTTGGCATAGAATTAATATTCAAAAATAAATGAATTCTATTGACTGTTACTGCGTCTATCAATGGTATCAAACTTTAGCATATTTGAAGGTTTTAACCCATGATCAGACACAATTTCCAGTATCATTATATAGAAGTCCACTTGGTTTCCTCGAATTTCCAATTTTTGGATGGTTGAATTATCTCAAAAAGAATATCTAATAGAATCTGTCATTTGATTTAATATATATCGCAATCATAATTTTTTTCTCACAGTTCCACTGATACTAGATGTCACCCATTGTAGTGCAATCGGCATTGATTTGATGATTCACGCACATTTTATCATAGATCATTCGTTGTTCTGTAGTATACCAATTAGAACTTATATTTGAATTGTTAAGTTGATCAATAATATAGAAATGATTTTACTTTAACTGAATGTATTTTTCCTACTAAATATTTTTGAATGTTTAGATAATTATCATTGATGCACAAAAGGTTTCGTTGTGATCTTTTGATGCCTACCAAAGATGGTAAAGTAAAAAAGCTCGATCTTGAAAATGGTGGTGGTTCTCGTTTATGTGATTGGTTTAACAAAGATATGTCTTTAAATGATATTTATCGTCTTATTTTCAACATATTCAAATTAGGTAATTTGACGAAAATAAATGTTGATAATTTCATATCTCAATTTTTGTTTTATGGATCACAAGCAGATACTGAACTTGAAACGTCATTATATGATTTTCAATTGCAACCATTGGATGTCAATCAATATGAAACATTTCTTGAGTACATTCATAGGAATGGATTGAATTGTACAAGTACAACTATATACGTTTGCATTCATGAAGGTTGTTTTTTTCTTTGCATTTCATTTGAAGCTAGTAATAACAATGCGACAAGAAAAAATAAGATGGTGAATGAAAAAGACTTACAACAACAACTACAGCATCAACGTCATCAATATCGAAAGAAGAGTAATCAAATCTTTGAATGATGCCTTTTTTTTTTGATCTAGTTTATATTATTAGAACATCTGTAAAAACAAGAACGAATTCATCCATAACATCAATTGAATATAAACATGTCAATAAAGAGAAACAAGATATTAATTCAGAACAAATTGATAGGTAAAAATTTTTTTTTTTTTAAATAAAAGTTTAAAATAATATTTTCTAGCTCGTTATATGGTAAAGCATGGATAATTGTCGATTTTTTTTTAATGATTTAGCTTTATATTTAGAATATTCATTTATCAATTCGATTAATTCTATCATGAAAAATATTGGTGACTTGATGAGTCAAAATAGTTATAATGGGCTTTTGATTAAATTGTTTGAGAATATGTGTATAATTCATGGTTATTCATTTTTAACAATTAATGCAATAAAACAACAAATTCGACGATCAAAAAAAAAATTTTCAATCAATTAAACAATCTGATATTACACTATATTCGAATTGTTTAAATAATATTTATATTAGTTGTGAATTAACAATAAAATTACTTAAACGGCAAAAAAAATAGATTTAATCATATTCCACTTTATTCAATGACTCGTGAATCATTTATTGAATTTTATCATAACTTAAAGGTATTTAGATGTTGACAAAAACATAATAATAGAATATGTTTCACTGAACTGTCATCACTAGATTCTTATTGATGAGAAACTGCTTGAACGAATTTAATCATCATCTAAAACTTAAGATTGACTATACTTGGTGAGCTTATGATTAGATGATTGAAAATATATTTAATCATTTTCTTTAGATATATAGATGAAGTTTCTTGTCTTTTTTTAATATGCAGTTTTGAAATATACTTAACTCTTCTACAGGAGTTTTCGAGAGATCTTTTTATGTTTAGCTTTTACGTACTCAATGGTATGAACTTGTTAAAAATACGACGAAATTAATGAAACTTCATCTTCATCTATCCAATTAAGTGGATTAAAAGCATTAAAATCGTCTCATTCAAATATTCAATATTCATTTCAGCATAAACTTGAAACAAAAATACAGAAACACGTAGGAAAAACAATCTAGAAAATGTTGATTTATTTCAGCAAGTAAATAAAATTTAAACATAAATTTAGTTTCTATACTTATTATTTTATTTAGTTCTTGAACAATGCAAGAGATTTATTAAATGCTATGAATGAACCACGTTTATTAACATTTCGTAATATTATTCAATCCATAGTCGTTGACATAGAATCCATACTATCAACTATTAATATGTATAATTCTATTTCTATAAATAATGCAAAAGAAGCGCTGACATCGTTAAGAATGCAATACTCAAGAATATTCAAATCCGATCTTTTTACATCATCCATATATCGAATAACTCAACCCACTAAACAAGTATATAAAAAGACATTAGCAGTATTAAATGATTTAATTGAGTATCTTACAAATTATCAAGTTCAAACCAGAGATGTCCATCGCGGCTGAAAATCTGCCGCTGCCGCGCCGCGGCCTTAGAAAAAAAAAGCTGCCGCACCGCTGCCGCGCCGCGGCGGTTTATAAAAAAATGTTGCCGCGACGCTGCCGCACCGCGATGACTTATAAAAGAAACGCTGCCGCGCCGCTGCCGCGATGAATTATAAAATAAACGTGCCGCCACCGCGCCGCTGCCGCGATGATTTTCAAAAAAGTGTTTCTAATTTCACTGCTGTGACTATATTTGACCAGAGATATGGGTACTAGTCCATCAGATTTATTCAATATCAGGGCGTTTCATTTGTAAATCGTGAAATTCTATTAAATTCATACAGTTTTTCAATGTCCTCCAAAAAAATCCTGCCGCTGCCGCGATGGTTTTTTAAAAAACCTGCCGCTACCGCGCCGCTGCCGCGATGACTTTTAAAAAAATCTGCCGCTACCGCGCCGCTGCCGCGGTGATTTTTTTAAAAACCTGCCGCTGCCGCGCCGCCACCGCCACCGCGGCAGCGGCAGCGGCAGCGGCGCGGCAGCGCCGCGATGGACATCTCTGGTTCAAACAGTTGAAAATCAAACAAAAAACTCAAATCTATCATCAACTTTCTTATCAATAACTGATCAAGAACAATTGGAAAATAAAGAATCAATCCAAAGGCTTAAACGAAAATCAGAAACTTTACATGCTGATAGAGGTGTAAGCCGATGAGTTGACCGGCGGCGGCGCCATTAAAAAAAATTTTTTTTCAAAAGCTCGGCGGCGCAGATTTGAATTACTGGGGCTGCACGGCGGCGGCGGCTTGAAAGTCATTTTTTTCCTACCGCCGATGGCGGCGGCGGCTTAAAGTCCTTCGTCGTTCGGCGGCGGCGGCTGGAGGTTTAGAAAAACTACTATAGCAGTCTATGGGAAAGTTTTTGGGCAACATATTTGCTCATTTTTGACTCTTCTAAAAGTATTTTAGTCGAGTGAACAACCAGTGCTAAGGACCAGAATTTTGTGCTCTTTCCAAATATGGGCTGAATTGGTGTACCTATTCTCGGTCGAGAGCAGTGAGGAGACCTTTCAAAGGTCTAAAAAAACAGTTTGGACGGAAAATTTCTTCGCACATCTTCATATGCTTGCTACTGATATTCAAAACTAACATGCTGAATCTTTTGTTCACATGTCAGCTTGAACAAAGTTTGTTCTACAAAATATGACATTTGAGTTAATTTTTTTCTGACAAAATACTTACATTGTTGTTCAGTTGCATTTTCGAAAAATCAATTTTTTCATCAGAATTCGATTCTGACAGATGTAGTTCTTGCAAAAACAGTCATATTTTTATATGCGTAAAGGGTACATTTTAGTTCGCCATAACATTTTATAAAGAATTATTCGTCCTACAACATTTGCAAGTTGAACCATTTTTAGCGCTTTTCTAAAGAAACATACGAAGGTCACAAAAGCTTTTTTATTTGCCACTGACATAACTTTTTCAGAACATTCAAAGACCTCCTCACTACTCTATGACAAGAACAGATACACAATCCCTCAGACTATATTTGGATAGAGCACGGAATTCTAGTCCTAATCTAAAGTTTTTCATTCACCTAGAACACTTAAGCCAATAAAATATGAACAAAATATTGTCGAGAAACTTTTGAATAATTGATGTGTCCAAACTGTGTTTTTAGACCTTTCAGAGATCTCCTTACTTATTCTGGAGCAACAATAGGTACACAATTTATGAGCCTATATCTGGAAAGACGACATCATTCTGGTCCTAATCACTCTTTTTCCACTAGACTAGAATACTTTAATAAGAGAAAAAAAAGAACAAATACTTTGTCCAAAAACGTTTTCGTAGACCGTTAAATGATTTTTCACATTTCCTGTACCACTTATATTGCTATAAATGCCAATAAGATTTTTAATTGAAAAAAGTAATATCAGCTTGATCGTTTTTTCAATTTGTGAAACCAAATTTTGCAATAAACATGTTAATTATCGGCTAACTAATTCGGTTTTTTTGTACAAATAACCCAAATGATTCCAGACGAACGATGGTTTTGGTAGATTAGGTAGGTTCATCTCGATAAAAAAGCTTTTGTTTACACAATATATATTTGTCATTGCAACTGCAAGATGAACCTAAAAATGAACAAAACAAACAGAATTATTTATTTATCAATAAACAGCACCTACAAATTTCTGAAAATTGAAAAAGCAACACCAAAAATAATGATAAATAAAAATTACCAAAATCATCAATACATAGTAAAACCATCAAACTTTGAGTAGGAAATATAACTTGAATTGCTACTGAATAAAACGGAATCACTAGTATTATTAATAAGTGAAAAAAATAATACAACCACTGAAAATACAAATAAATGAAAAATAAATATAACCACCAGGATAAATAGTAGATGAAAAACCGTCACCGAGTTTGTTAATAAGTAGAACGACGTAGCACACACAAGTCTGTTGCTTGATTTTGTTTTTGTTAATCGAAACTTATAATACTGGTCTTTACTTATATATAATGTTATAGATATTAACAAGTGAAATGATTACTTGAAACTTTTAACCCATACAAAATTAAGGAAAAAATGATTAAAAAGTTGTCGATGTTTATGAACGGTGTCGGCGGCGGCGGCTCAAAAATTTGAAAATTCTGAATGCCCTCGGCGGCGCGGCGGCTGGAACTAAAGTGTCTCAGCGGCGGCGGCTTATAAATTTTTAAAATTTTGACTGACACGGCGGCGGCGGCTTAAAATTTTTCTCGTTAATCGGCGGCGGCGGCTCAGCCGCACGGCTTACACCTCTACATGCTGATAATTATGGCCCAAGTGAAATTCGATCATATTCATCATTTAAAAGTGAAAGTTTATCGCAGCGTATTGAAAATACAAATAAACGAAAATTTCATAAATCTAACTAAATTCAAATATAGTTGTCTATTTTGTAGTCAATAAAGAACTTTTTAGTTTTGTTTCGTTGTTTGCATTGAAATTATGAATAAGAAAAAAAAAATCAAAGATATGAAATAATGTTTTCCATGCAATAATAAGATATAGCAATCTCAGTAATCAATTAATGCTGGTAAACTATCTTTAAAGAAGAACATATAATCAAAGAGATGCGCAATATCTACACCGTATACTAAAAAAATATAATTCTATAATCGCAGGCGTTTATGCAGGATCTCACATTTTCGAAATACTCGCATTTTCGATATTTCGCACATCTAGAGACCTCAATTAAAATAGCTTCCATAGAAAAATGCACATGTTTTTGACAAAGCATCTTCGAGATAGGGAACTTTCAAGATGAAGAAGAATTTTCTTTGTCTGCTTGTTATCATACCAAGGACAACCAATCGATTGTCTGATTAGCTTGTCATGTTTATTTTAATGATAATATTGATTAATTTAAAGAATAAACTTTCTCATTTAATGCCATAATAAAATTTATCGACAAATACAAAAA